TATGTGTGTGTGTGTGTGTGTGTGTGTGTGTGTGTGTGTGTGTGTGTGTGTGTGTGTGTGTGTGTGTGGGGGGGGGGGGGGGGGGGGGGGGGGGGATAAACACGATCGTGAGGGGCTTGGCACTTCACTTCACGGTGACGCTTTCTCATGGGTCAAAGGTTGATTGATCTGGGCTAGCTAGTGGAGTTCTTCTTTTTTTCTCTCTCTTGTTCAGAAAGGAGAAAAACGAGCTTCCTTTTTGTGAAGGCGCCATGTTTTTGCTCAAGGGAATCGTTCCCTCGGACCGGGATCCCAGTCTCAGCCCACCCGATCGCACCGCTCCCGCCCGAACGGCATCACTTCATGAAAGCAGATTGATTGATTGATTGATTTTTTTTTTTTAAATTCCCGTCGAGCTGAAATCGACCCACGGCAAACAAACGCCACTGAGCTTTCTGCTGCAGTTGCTTTTTATGTCAGCGATCAGCGATCGGCCGGCATGCGAGCCAGTCGGCAGCTACGTTAGCTTAGCGCTGATCCGACGGCGTTTCAAATGAAAGTTTTAGAAATCACGTTGAAGAAAGAAGACGAGTCCAATTATTTGACGGCTGACACCGTTTTTGTCTTGAAAACGCCAAACCCCCCCCCCCCCAAAAAAAAAAATCTCAAACAAGTGTGCCTAATTTGTCGTCCAATTCTGCAAAGAGCCTCCTCATCTTCTCTTGCTAAGCTTTCCGAAGGTGGCAGGCATTTCTTTTCAGAAGCGCGCCGGTCATTTCTTTCATGCGTTGCACAGCTCGTAGGAAATGTTTTCTTTTTTTTGTGTGTGTGTGTGTGTGTGTGTGTGTGCGTGTGTGTTGCTATATTGGTCCACATTGGCTCCCTGGTGGAGTTGGAAGCCCGGGAAGCGGGCCACACTTGCACACACGTGCACTCCGTCGTAGTCGTGCCTTTTTTTTTTCCCTTTCCTCCACTTGCATCATTTTGTTCTTTTGTATTTCTGTCTTTCTTTTTTTGCTTCTGCTGGCAAAGCAACCAAATGATGAAAGTTGACTTGATGCAGACGCTGAGATTTGTTGAAACAAGCTTCAAAAAAAAAAAAAAAAAAAAAATCACCAAGTCCAGTTTCCAAGTTGAGTTAGCCGGCAACGTTAAGACGGGAGGCTCCCATCGCTCCAGGCAACAATCGTATGTTTGCAATCATGAGGCGGCTCCACGTTTATTTGAAGCTGCCTTTTTTTTTCAACCCACTCCATTCCTAACTTCTGCTGTGTAAACCCGAAAGGCTACGGCGGGTGTTTGCCGCTAACCGATGCTACGCTCTATTGTTCTATTTGTGGCAGCTGCCGTGCCAATCATCGGCTGCCGTTTCTCGCGACGAGGGACAGCCTTCGGATTTCCCGCAGCCGCGAACAACGTCAAGGTGTCGTTGGGAGGGGGTGCAGGGCAAGAACACCATTTTGGAAAGATTGATCGAAAACAAGACCGCAATTCTAGGTGTGGGGGAAAGAAAAAAAACGCGCTCACTTGCGTCGGCAGCGACGAGGGACAGCCTTCGGATTTCCCGCAGCCGCAAACAATTGTCGGTTGGGAATCTTGAGGTGGCCGGACTTTTCGTCAAGGTGTCGTTGGGAGGGCGTGCAGGGCAAGAACACCGTTTTGGAAAGATTGATCGAAAACAAGACCGCAATTATAGGTGTGGGGGGGAGAAAAAAACCGCGCTCACTTGCGTCGGCGGCTTATTCCGTTTGGGTGCAGCAGAACAGCCAAACGCCGCTTGGCCGCGTTTGCTTTTGCTGCGGGGAATGACGGATTGGCTGACGCAAAGGCCCGCTCCGCCCTCGGCCCTCCTCTTTCCCCCTCCCCTCCCT